TTGCCTTGAAAATATAGAACTTTTGTCTACAATGCAGTGTTTTTATTTATTTGTAAGATACATTTACATCTATAACATTTGCAGCTTGTAAACCAACATTAAAGGAACACATTTGATGCTTTCTTATCTTGAGAATTTTTGATTTTGCTTGAATAAGCCACAGGAACACCTAATAGCACTAAAATCTAATAGCACTAAGTCTACAAAAGCAAAGCTGCCATGTGCTTTCATTCACTGTTCGCTCTTTTTATTTTCAAAAGCAAGTTAAATACTTCTTCTATTTGTACGTCTTCTAATGACAAGATTAATAAAACATTGAGGGGTTTAATATGACGTAGACAAACCCGTGACAGCTTCAAATCTTCAGGGGAATTTAGGAGGTCAGAAGAATTTAGAGCACCCCGCAGGAATTTACTGAACTAAGAGCAGCCTATTCTCCACAAATACAGGCTGCATGACTTGGTTCTTGATATTAAACATGTCACCATAGAAGTCATTGGAACATCTGAATGCAGCTATGCAGATTGGTATGAATACCTTCGGCAATGTTATACTTTAGCATAAGGTCATACCAATTAAAGAAAAAAAACTGAAGTACTTGCAAATTGTTGTAAGACTTTACTGTTTGTATGTATGGAATGTTATATCAGCATTATTAAAATGCCACAAGAAATATTCTATGTTCTTGCCATTTTCATCCAGATGCTTTGAACAAAATAATTTCCCAAAATACTAGCCGTACACAGAACTACATTTCCCAGAAACCATTTTCAAAGCATCTAAAGAACATAGCAGAAAGGTTTGTGATTGAGATTAAAATGTCTCCCCCACAAGGAGTGGTGGGAAGGGGGGTACTTAATTAAGTCATAGGAGCCTGGCAGTGATGAATGCCTCGTAATGTAAGCATGCTAACACACCGCTACTGCTGCCCTTTAGCTCTGCACCTTCAGATGAACAAAATACCACCACTATCCTCCGACTTGAGAAACTCTGGCTCCATCTTCTACTTGTTTAGAGAATGACAGTGCAATCTGAGCATTGTCTGCAAGATGTTTGCTCTTCTTCTGTTCCCTAGCATCCGTGTATTCACCAGCAGCACAAGCCTCAGGTTCTACTCTGTGTTTTCCTTCATCACTGTAGCTAATTAAAGAGCTCGGGGTCTGCGACTGTTTCCACTGCCTTGTATTACCATTAATTACACTGACGTCTCGGATCCTCTGCAAAGCCGAGCAGTGATTCATGGCGTGGTGTCTCCGAGTAAAAGACTTATCTCACATACTCACACGCACTCCTGTACATATGCATGGATGCACTGACACTCGCACACAAACATAATAAATTGGGCACGGCTAAAGACTGATGGCCCACAAAGCAACGCCATGGATCAATTAAGCATATGCCGCGCAGAGAGCAGGGTGGCTAATCTCTGAATGTAAACAGTGGCACTGCCTGAGAGAATTCAAACACAGGAAATAACTGAATTGTAAAACGTTATTATTAATCCGTCTGTGGATATGAGGTGCTAGGTTTCATCAAAGTGTCTGTATGTGAGAGAATATGGAGTCTGAACTTCTGCCTGTGTTTCTCTTCTGGATCACTGGGCTGATTTATCAAAGACTTGAAACAAACCACTGTGTGTTTCAGTGGCGGACTTCGGAGGCACGCGTTTTCCAACATTGAGTGTAATACTATAAAAACATTCTATATGGTTTGACACTCAAAGGTAAACATTGAGGTGATGAGTAAAGATGGAGCTGGTGTGTGTGTGCTGCTCATCTTTTCCTCTCAGTCTGGTTAATGTTTGTAGAGTTTCTGGCTAAAGGCGCTGTTTAAGCAGAGGTTCTATTGGTATACAAATTCCTTGTTCAAGTACAGCAGATCGATTTATATTTGAATCTGGATGGCTGCGCACAACTATGAGGGATTCCGTGTCAGGAGTGGAAGACTACGATGCAATGGATTTGTCTTGCGTTTAATGTCTATATTTATCACTATGCACAGTGCTTTGTACCATTGACGGTTGGATAAAAATAGACTGAAAAATATGGATGACAAGTCTCCATCTCCTTCCATTTGAGGACATTTGCAGGATTTGGAGTCTGATTTGACAGCCAGAAGTCTCAGAAATGAACCCGGGAAGAGCTTCCTTGCTCCAATGAGCAGACTTAATTTTTATTAAATCGAAAACAAGGTGAGAGTTTTGCATTTTTCTTTGCATAAATACCCAGCAATATCCCGCAAATCGTTTCAAACATATCATGACTGAAGGTGCTCGGCACTGTGGTGTTGTGGGTAGCCATTGGTTTCGCAAATGATTTTCAAAGAGTTCAGGGACACAAGTCTGCAGACTGCTGAAATCCAAAGAAGGAGAAGCAAATACAGCAAAGACATACGGAAGAGAGGAGCTAACACCATACTGGCCATGGCTGAAACCTGGATCTGTCTCCGCCATTTCATGTCTGGTAAGTCAGGCTTTTGACCAAATTACCATTTTTCTGTGTTTGGCAGTTTTGTGTTTTACCTTTTTTGCAATTTACCCGAAAGACAACACTTATGGCTCGCAGAACTTTCTTTCCTCATGACAGTATCTCTTTGTCAGTAAGAGATAGTAACTCAGTGAGGGAGCATCAGACATCTGCGCCTAGAGCTGTGGAACCTCCAAATCTGACATATCTGTCTAAGGAGAACCGGGAGCCTACCACCTTTGGTAGTTAAAATCCATAGAGGTCATGGTGCCCTCTATGAGGTCCTGCTTAGCTGCCGATTCATCAATTAGTGTCTTCTTTTTCGGGAAACACCCCAGCCCAGTTGGTTTTGACCTTCCTCCAGGAAGGTATAGAACAGGGGCGTACAACGTCTAGCCTGAAGGTCTATGTAGCAGGGATTTCCTGTTTACAGAGCGGTTGAAATGTAGTTGCTGTGCTCCCACTACCTGATTGTGAGATCCCAGAAGGCTCGGGCCTGTAGGCCCTCACTGGAACTCTCTTGGGGCCTGTGTTAGGTCTATGTGGACCTATCTTTGAGACTTTATTCTCAGTCTCTTAAGACAGCACTTCTGACAGTCTTGGCCTCGTTCAAGAGGATGAGAGGTCTCCAGGCCTTCTTGAAACCTGCCTGGAATTCAGGCAAAGAAACTCTAACGTTGCTTTAAAGTTTAGGACTGGGTTTATGCCCAAGGTTCCTATTGTACCCTTCAGGAACCAGGTGGTGAACTTGCAAGGCCTGCCTTGGGAGGAGGCAGGACCAGATCTATGAAACACCTAAGTGTCGGAAAAGCACTTTAGATAGGAAACGCTCTTGCATGAAGTGTCCCATGCCCTCTGCTATTGAGGGCCCATTCCACTAAAGGCGTGGCCAATATTGAAGGGGACTCTGCTGGCAGCCATTTGTAAAGCGGCAGGTTTGCCAAGTAATACACCTTTTGATTGTCAACAAAGACCCATTGTGGCCTGTGGGTTTTTTTGGTTACTTTTCTTGGTTTGTCAAACCAAGGGTTTCTTACCTTTGCCCCAAGTAAATAAGTGAAATACATGGACTAGATGTTTCAAAGGTAACTGGTAAAGGGCTATATGTATAAACATGCTTTTCCATTCCCTGCACACTGAGGCATGTGTAATGCTCAAGCACAACCCTCGCCTTAAAATGTCCCTCTTACAAAACAGAGGGGGTAAATCTTGAGCTTAAGCATTTGAGAGGGAAATTGAGGACCAAAGAGAAAGAGGGGAGAATCCTATAGATTTCGCTCAGGCCAAAGACCAGATAAGCAGCACCCAGGGAATATGTCTGTAAACACTTGGGTGATTGACAGATGCCATCTCAGCCTGTGGGAAACTTTACATTTTTATTATCAGCCTGTAAAATCGTATTTTACAGATCCACATGCTGCTTTGGCTGTGTGCGTGTGTGGTCGAGGGTGGTGCACTTAAAGCCTGTTTTGATCGGGCCTCACTAAATATCCAGCCAATTTTCACAGGTCTGACGCCGCTTTGAAGAAAATTGAGCAGATTTGCGATGAAGAGACTCTCTGGAGGAATGTGAGAGTGTTTGAGGATTAGCAGGTTTTTATTCTCAGTGTAAGGCCCGGCTGAAGAAGTGTCTGATGCCTCAGGAGGTGCAGCTCAAGCGAGCCTTCCAATAAATGAAGATTGCAGAGATACAGAGAGGCACTGACAAAGCCTTTAGATTGAGCAAAGTCTACTGCAATACACTTTGGTTTTTATGCAAAGCCATTTTATTTAGGGATGTGAGGGAAAGGGAAGTTATCCTCCGATATTCATCCAGTGTCATGGCTTCAACATGGTATGGTTGGGACATGCTGACCATAAGGAATGCTTTGAATTCCTTAAATTCAAAATTAAAAAAAAACTTACATAAAAGAAAAAAAGGGTTTTAAAAGCGATGTAAAACAAACAGAACCAACCCAATATTAATATATATACTGTATTGTTAAACCAAGGCTGACATCTAGTGGAAATCAAAATTACTGCAGTGTATCCCACTGTGTGTCTATGGTCCCACTCCATCCAAACTTTGTCTCTAGAAGTGTCTTTAGTTTTAAGGAAACCAAGTGAAAAAGAAAGAAGCAAAAAAAAAAAACGCCAATATGCATTATAGATGAATAAATGTAATGTGTGGCTTTCCATCATTTCATATTTTTTTTTTAAATCGCATATTGTTTTGATAAATAATTCAATCAGTTTCAATGAAAGAAATGATTGCTAAATCATAAGCTGAAAATATTTCATTTTACAAAAATTTAAGTAAAGTGTGTCAGTTATTATTTAGTGGTGTAATTCTGCAAATAAAAGCTCAAGCAGAAACTCCTTCCAGTAAGGTCACTGGTGAGCCTTGAACCAGCAACCTTCTAACAGGAATCCCCAGTGCTACCCACTGTGCCACCATTCAGAGCTGTTTATAGTAAATTTATTTGTCCAGGAACATCCTTCTGAGAAACGGTTGTGTCTTTTTTTCTATTTAGTTGTGGACTGCCAACTAAAAAGGGTGCTGTGGTTTAGTTGGTTAAAGCACCTGTCTAGTAACCAGAAGGTTGGTTCAATTCCCAGTGGTGCCTTAGAAATCTCCTTCTTTTCCTTCTGTTTTTGGTGTCTCTTAATTGGAATTTGTCCTACCCGTACAGAACAGTACCACTGTGATTCATCGATATATGGACATTTACAAAACTTAAGCATTTCAGAGTTGTTCTGTGGTGCAACGGATAGTGCTTTGGCCTTCTAGGTTAGGCTTCCAAAGTTTGTGGGATCAAGTCCCACCTGAGTTGAGTGTTTGGTTTCATACGTATTGTGTCACATTGCTGTGTCTCGCTGAGAGGATTGTCATCAGCAAACATACTTGCTTAATATGTCGGAATTTAAAAAAAAACAAAACACTTTTTTATTCGGATTACAAAAATGTGTAATAGCCTTAAGTTCTGAATAATTGAGAATTCCTTCAATGTGAAAATATAATTATGTGCCATGTAGTTCAAAACCTGACTGCAGTTAACTCTTCTGTGGACTGTCAATTAAACTGTGTATTAGTTGAAAGGCACTGTGGATTAGTCGGTTAAAGTGCCTTTTCAGTAAAAATGAGTTTCTGGGTTAAAATTCCACCCGTGCCTTAAAAAAATCTCCTTCTTTTCCTAATAAAATACTTTCTGGAATTGCTTTATTGGGAAAATATAATTGTATTCTGTGCCTTGTAGTTCCGAACCTGACTGCAGTTACAGGACTTTTTCAAGGGCGCTGTGCCTTAAGTTAGTTTGTTAATCAGTGCTTCGTCAGCTTCCTGCATTTTAATATGTTTAATACACCTTTAAAATTGACGTTGATCCGATCACGTGTTTAAAGCTCCAAGCTCCTCCCTTCTTGTCGGGGGCGGGCCCTGACGCAAAAGGCTCCGCCCTGACGTCCCGATGACAGCGCGGACAAGATGGCGGCCAGCTGGGAAGTAAAGTGAGGATGTCAACATCATTAATTCAGTTTAAACAAGTCGGGATTTTCAAGTCTCATTCATTCGAACACTTTGTCATATAGTCCTTGATCCCCGTAGCTGTCTCAGGATCCAAAGCCAGCACAATTCCACGCAAACGCGCACATGTTTTCGCGCTATGTTTTGGAAATCCGTTTGCGCTTAGTGGACCATCAACTCTTGACGAGGGATCTGGCCTGCTTGAACCTTCAAGATCCAGTTCAGGAGTCACGCGGAGAGTGTTTAATCTTAAGATCGCTCGTCTTATCGACGGAAACGGTGTTGTCTGTCACACCGAGGCTCTTCTGATTGCTGTTTTTGGTGATTTCCGCGAGCGAGAGCGGCGGTGCTTTCTAAATCTGCGGAAGTGGATGAGAGCTTTTCACGCCAGTCATCTGTCGGATGCTCTCTCTGGATGCTCTTTACAGCGCCGTTAAGCTCTAAATTCTATAAGGCCGCGTTAAAACTTGGACAAACGGGATTAGGTCCATTTTGTCCGGAAACTGTGTTTTTGCTGACTTGCTGGCCAGTTTAGCGGTTAAAAGTGACGCCATGGCTCATTCCCCAGTACAGGGCAGTCTGCCTGGGATGCAGGTAAAGATACACACAGCATCACTTATAATGTCTCTGAGTTACAGGAATCCACTTTAGTTTGTACTATGTTTGAAAAAGATTTCACTTTTAGGTTGTTACTGTCTTTGTGTTCAAATTTGTCATGGTTTTATGGCTCTTCCCCTTCTCCAGTATTCTTTATTCCACAGACCCCTATTTTAGTCATCTTTATGTGTGTGATTTCATGCTAATACTCTCTCATGATTTAGTCATAACTTCTCTTTTGGCCGTATCTTAGATCAGATAAGTTAATGTGAGTGGATCAGAAGCATTTAGATTGTTGGTGATCAAAAGCCTTTACTATGTTTCATACTTGCAGTCTTACTCTTTAGTAGTTCTAAATTAGTTCTAAGTTTACTTACTCACTTACTTGATTATCAATAAATTAAGTTTTATGTTGAGATGTTTATTTATTATGGCTACAGGCAAAATAACTGACTGGTCCAAGGAAAAACGGTGCTAATTATGTACATGTTTTTAAGCAAAACTATCACAATTTTAAGACAAAACAAATATGGCTTTTAAGTTACTTGCTATGATCTGGCCATCCAGCATACCAGACAATACACCACATTTTTACTCTAGGAGTCACTTAATTGAATGGGGTAAAGTCACATTAGTAATGCTTATTTCCCACCGTGCATTTGGAGGCTTCTTTACTTCATTCTGTAGGCTTTAATGGTACCTTGTTTATACCCATTCAGACCAAGTACATGCCTGTCACAGAAAAGTGCTACGCAACATCCCGTTGATCTCTCACTGATTGGCCAGAAAGAATTGCAACTGCTTTTTCCTAATAGCCAGCAATCCATCTTTTAAATGAGCCTTTTTTATTTGAGTGCTATAAACCATATATGCAGTATACAAACAAATACCACTCATTTGAAATTCTCTGCAATTTTTCGCCTTTGTGTGCATCTCATTTCTTCTTCTTGGCTTTCATGTTGGTGTTGTGCAATATGATGTCACCAAGCAGAACTAGAAGGATGCAGCAGTCTTGAACGACTCGTCATTACCAGGCCCACTCAGAGCACATACTTGAGTTTAGGCAAGCACAAAGTGAATTGTGGGGACTGGGGAGTAGATTTACTAAAATCCGGAGTAAAAGTGGTATAATCTGTATGGTGGGTGAGCATAATCAGAAGCGATTTGGTTTCAGAGACATGAATTGCTATCCATGTTTTGATTATAGTTCAATGACGTCTCCAGCCCCCAGGTTCCTCTTGGCTTGGTTATTAAAGTCATTGGAGTGATTTCAGAGTTTGAGACTATCTGTCTATAATGGGCACACCACAAGTGGGTGAGGAGAAGCTGAAAGAGAAATACACGAAAGCCTACAAATAGACGCAGCAAAATGTGGTAAAACCATGGTAAAAATGTGGTCGGAATGGCTACGGTGAGCCAAGGAAGAACTTGCTAAAAAATGTTCGAATAATGAAGATTGCGAACTAGACAGGGCGTATGCGAGAAAGATGCTTTTGTAGCTCATTTTCAATGTAGACTAGATGTTCAACAATAATTTTAGCCATCCATAAAGTTAAAGCTACTACAACACTGACGACGCAGATCCCCGGTTCACTTCAGAGATCTAAGACCGAAAGAAAAGGAGCATGAAGTGGAAGGGTAAAGACAAATGGGAAGAGGTAGACAAGGGATGAAGATATGTCAGTGAATTGTGTCTAGCAGATCTGGGTCACTTGTTTGGGTATCTATTCAGGCTTAGCCATATGACTAGTCAGCCCTCAGGACAGTAGAGCAATCTGCCAATCCTAGAATCAGTTTGTCTTCATCCTGAATCCAAGATATATGACACCATTTTTGGTGCGGAATTAAAGGGAGCCGGGTTGAGGAGAGTGAAATGGAATCATGTTTGTCTTGACACTCTCAGTGATGGTACCTTGATTAATTAATGGAGGAGTTGTGCTAGTCGTGAAGCTTTTGTTAGCAATGATCACCTGTCTATAGCACACCTCACATGGGCACCTCATTTACCAGCTCCCTTACACACAACCACAGATGGGAGCCGAGGGATGACATGGCCTTCTGAAAGAGTTTGTTGGCTGTCACACCTGTCAGTGTGCATCGGGATCAGGATTACAGAGATCAGCTGCTTGTGTGGGCCAGCAATCAGCATTAGGCTGAAGCAGCGAGCAAAGCCTTCACCATCTCTGTTATGGAATGGCTATGATGACGGCTAATGAATCTCAGAGTTATGCATTAAAGGCTCGCCCTGTGAGACCGTGGGCTCTACAGGAAGCTGCACGGGAATGGCCCGTGTTGGTGAGAATGAGTGGAGTCTTTTTGATTTGAGCTTAATGTGAATGGCATCGGCAGACTGCAATCCAAGTGCTAAAGTTCTTGCAGTTCCATTGTGTTTCAGACACATTTTAAAATAGAGCCTTTTTTGTTTACCATGTCCTGTCCCGCTCAAAAGCCATCACATGGGAGAGTATATGCCTTGCTGAGTTGGACAGTTTTGCTTTCTCTAGGGGAGTAAAACACCTGGTGTGGTGTTTTCTCCTCTGGATTAGAACATTGAATGTATGTAAATATTTATTAGTTGTGGTTCCTGCGAGTCAGTTTATAATAGTTGTGTCAGGACAAGGCGGTGTATAAATAGAGCCTTTATCAATGCCCTTGGAATAAAGGTTTGACCCGTTTGTGATGATGCGCACCCTGTGATATCATCCACCGAGTGCCAACATTTGGATGGTTAGACTCTGTGCATTAATGTTTGTTCGAACCCTCCTGATAATACGTTTTAATTTTTGTACTTGAATGTGATCTGCTATGTTTGTGTTTTGTGATTGCCATGTCATTTGTGTTAAATGTTTGTAACTTCAGTTTAGAATTGATTTAATTATTTAATTGGTTTCAGACACTGATTAGATGATGATTTCCTCGTCATAGGTTAATAATAGGGGTGTAACGGTTCACGGTATGTATTGAACTGTTTCGGTACAGCCTGTTCGGTTCCGGGACACTTGCGTACCGTTTCGGTATTTTTATTAAATGATATAAATCTATTATTAGCGCGATATTAAGCGCAGCGGAACAATGTTCCTAGGCGAGTTTCCGCACGGACGCTATTGAGTGACGAGCACGAGCGCGAGTAGGAAAATGGAATCATATCAAAAGCAAAAGAGAAGCCAGAGCTTGAAGACCCTCTCACCTCACTACGGTCTCGTGTTTGAGAACACTTTGGCTTCTCTGTTAAAATACATAACGGGGATAGACGAGTGGATAAATTTAAAGTTGTATGCCGACATTGTTCCACGGAGATAGTTTCCGCACGGACCCTATTGAGTGACGAGCGCGAGTAGGAAAATTACATGGCAAAAGCGAAAGGGAAGCCAGAGCTTGAAGACCCCCTCACCTCACTGCGGTCTCGTGTTTGAGAACACTTTGGCTTCTCTGTTAAAATACATAACGGGGATAGACAAGTGGATAAATTTAAAGTTGTATGCCAACATTGTTCCACGGAGATCGGGCAGGCAACACATCAACATTTTCTACTGCTGGAGATATTGTCAATTTGTCACTGCAACCAGATCTATGCTCTCTTCAGAAAATGTGGATAGGTTAATCTATCCTAACTATCCTAACTAGTTGCAGTATTTTCATTTTTTATTTAAAAATGTGTTTTTCTTTATAAAGAGTGCAATTTATTTAAAATATCACCCAAATGTGTCACTTTTATTTATTTTATGCAAGAATTCTATTGTGTATTGGCAGCTTTTCAAAATAAAGATTATGTAAGTTCTTATTGTTTTGTACCGAACCGAACTCTCCAAGACACTGTACCGAACCGAATACGATTTTAGCCTACCGTTACACCCCTAGTTAATAAGGCAGAAAAGAGAGCAGCAGAAGCAAAGAGAGGAAAGATTGCCAGAGCAGATCTTCAGTGAGTGGTTCACTACTGGTTGCAAGAGGCAGAGCTAGCCGTAGCGCGTACCTGATACACACTGTATTCGAGTGTGTGGATAGCATTTTTCTGGTTTGTGTGTTTTACTCACTATTGGGGCACAATAAACA